TGTGTTTGTGCGTGTGTGTATGTGTGTGTGTGTGTGTGTGTGTGTGTGTGTGTGTGTGTTTGTGCGTGCGTGTGTGTGTGTGTGTGTGTGTGTGTGTGTGTGTGTGTGTGTGTGTGTGTGTGTGTGTGTGTTTGGGTGTGTGTGTTTTTTTTGTGCGTGTGTGTGTGTTCTCAACGAATTAAGTTTTGTTTAATATGTATTACCCTGTCTTTTATTATTTTTACTAATTATTATATGATTCTGCTTACTCTTGATTTTTAATCTACTAATCAGACTGGCTGTCATTATAAACACAACTTTACACGCGAAAATAAAAAAGGAGAAGGTAGAAAACACAAAACAGGACAAAACCCAAGATATCTTTACAAAACAAAATACTTTACGCCAAAAGGGACCAAAAAAATTAGAGCATCCTAGAGCACCCGATAGAAGTTAAATAAACTACAACCAATCCAATAAATGATGAACAAACGATAAGAGAAGATAAGAAGTATGACTACCCAAATAACGACTTTTCCACCACCAGATGGCGAAGGAGCGAGGGGCGAAGATTGTGCGGGACATCTGGGAGGAGGAAGACGCGGGGGGCAAAGTCCGCTTCGCCAAAGTACAGACGGTAAGGTTCAAGAAGTCGGTAATTAGATCTAAACAAGATAATTAGAACATTTCAGGATAAACTGATTGGAAAAGAGTTCTTTTCTTCAACATGGGTGAGTGGTGGTCTGAAAACAGCTAGATTTTTTTTCCCTTTTTCTCAAGAATTTCACTTGGAATTACTAGTCAGAGTTGAATAATTAACGTAAATGTCTGCCTGAGTCATATCGCCTTAAATAAAATCTTGCATACAGATCAATCATTATTACATTTTTTGTAGTTTCATTATAAGATGTATACAATTGAAAATATTTTAGATTCATGAAATGAATAACACACAATAGCAACAAAACGATATCCGTACAATAAGTCGTTTCCTGTACAAATGAAAGATCTTTGCAATGATAACGATCCTTGAAGTAGTTTGTAGTAATTAGTATAGTAATTATAGTAATGATATCAGTTATGAGAGTCATGAAGACTATAATCCGTCTAATGATATTCATATTAAATGTAATACTAACTTTAATCATTATAATAAGCCTTAAAGTAGTACTAATCCATATGATAATTTGATATCGAATTTAGATGCCATATCAAGCTTAATCACCATGATGATCCCTATAAAAATTTAGTCGATAAATGCAATTTTAACAGCAATGAATACAATATTCATCTTAGTCATGATATTAGTAGAATTTAGGGTTCTAGCTGTAATATAAAAAAAACACTAACCATAATAAACTATGTAATAACGGAACTATTAGGATTTCGATGGAAATTGTAGCAGGAATATGAAAATATAGTAACAATATACAGTATAGTAATAATTATGATAATAACATTGTAATGCCTTTGATATTAAGTGTAGCCTGAATAGAAATAGCAATAATCATAGAAATCTTTGCAATGGCAAAGATAAAGCAATATATGTGATAATCTTTGTAATAACGAAAAAATATTTCATGATAACCCTTTAATGGCAAAAATACAGCGCTAATAATCCTTATAATGACAAAAATACAACATTTGTGATAATCCTATGACAAGGATCATCACCGTAATAACAAAAATACAAAACGAAAAGTTACTGAAGACCATCCCTGCTATAGTAAAAACACAACAGTATTAATAATAACTCTGTTAACGCTCTCCCACCCCAGTACGGAGACACCACACACACTTTCGTCGAGCGAGGCAACTACAAGGGACTTTTCCTTCCCGGCTTCCATGCTCCTCTCACCGGACCCGACCCTCTTCTGAGCAAACTGTAAGTCACGTGAAGATTATGTGGTTACTTGAATTAGCTGTGATGATTTGTGGTCTTGGTGGGAATGTGTGAGGGATGTTGGAAGAGGATGTAATGATATGTGGTGATGTGGAGTTTTTTCTGGCCTCATAATGAGATATTTTGACCTAAGTTTTGGGTTCAGTGTTGTGGTCATGAATCAAAAGATAGCGGACTTACATGTATCAAATTTCACAGACTGATAAATTGATTCCACACTAAACCAAATCTCAAACTTCACCAAAAGAAAAAAAAGAGAAAAAAAATACCCTCCACAGCACCTCCCACAAAACCGAAACTACTCATCAACCGAATTAAAACTCACATGACTTTAAAAGAAACACGAAAACAAAAGAAAAATAACGGTATGACCCACCCGACCGAAGTCCTTCAACCTCTGCACCGCTTCCCTTCCAGACCCGCCGTGCGCCTGGACTTCATCGACCACATCGTCGGCAACCAGCCCAACCTGGAGATGGAGAACACGGCCTCTTGGTACGAGAAGCACCTCATGTTCCACAGGTTCTGGTCGGTGGATGACACGCAGATCCACACCGAGTACTCCGCTCTCCGCTCCATCGTCATGACCAACTGGGAGGAAACCATCAAGGTACTGAAGGGGCGGAGAGAGCGGTGGGGGCGGGTTAGGGTTTGGGAAGTCCGGGGATCGTATGTTTGTTTATTTTTATTGTTGTGCTGTAATGTTATTGTTGTTGATTTTTTGAGGTGTAGAGGGGCTTCTTTCTCACGCTCCTCCTCACCCTAGCATGACCTCT